ATCTTCACCCTTTTCCCTATCTTTCGTCTCACCCTCACCCTCACACCATCTCTATCTCGACTCTGGCACTGCAAAGAGCGAGCTCTGGATGATCTCTGGCTTTCTTTAGGTCATGAGTGGAATGAGATGTGTTGTGGCCTTGTTGGTGTTGTCGTATAGCTAAGTGTGCTTTATTTCTGATAGATGAATTCTGTTTAGAAAATCTTTATATGATTTTTCTGATTGGATGAGGTTCAGAAATATAATTTAATTTAGACAGTACATGTTCTATTTCCTGCATTTGAAAAAGCACAAGAGATTCAGTTGATAATGAATGACTTGTGTGGGTGTCAACTTATGAAAATTAAAGTTTGCTAGACACTCCAAACTGGTTTATAATGTTCTCATCCTCAGGATTAAAGTACTTAGCAATTTCGAGGCAATTTAGAGTCTTTCCTTCAGAGCTAAATTGCCTAGTCTGCAGGGGTTCTCTGGGACTGAAGGTAGATCTCCAGTCACTAACAAGACCTGCCCTGCTTAATATGACGAAGCCTTTAATTTAATTAAATGAATTATCTGATGGTATTGGCTGTTCTTGTTTCTTCCCTCTTTGGTAAATAAATTGAAGTCTGATTATAGCACTCTAATCCATTTCACCTGTGAGTGTGGATTTTTTTTTTCAGACTACAGGGACCTCTATGATTCAATGGCCAAATCAATTATGAAATGCTTACCGTTTTGGAAGCTGGCTCTAGAGAGATTCTTGCCGTAGTGGTGATGCCAAACTGTCCTAGTGTCCCAAGAATGTCATAAAATTAAAGAGGTCAGCTTTCTGTTTTGCTGAGCTGAACCGTTCACTAAATCTCCTTTTCCTGCACCCATGAAAAAATCAAATAATTTATAAAAATGGGCCTTAAATATTTTCCTGCATTATTGTGCTCTTGTTCTAAAAATCTCATGCTAAACGAATATGATGCCTGAATTTATTCATGTGATATTCTAGTATTCAGTTCCTAATATCTGCAAATAGGAACAATGACTTGATAACTTACTAATGACAACTTACAGATAGTGAACATCTCTGAATTTCCCTGCTGGTTAAATAAAAGTAATTGGTCCATGCATTTTGGGCTGCACGTGTAGGGGGTTGTAGAGGGGTGTGTGTTGCTTGCGGGGCTGCTGGGTAGTATGCTAGCTTGTGTTATATGATGGTCTACTGTTTTTTTTTTTTTCTTTCTTTCTTTTGGTTGGTGTATATCTTGAAAGTGTGCATTTCATGTTGAATGTAATATGATGTTTCTGTGATTAGGAGCCTGCATTGTTTACTACAGAGTAACATTGAGAAATATTAGGCAAATTTGTTTAGTAGTACCAGGTTTTTTGTAGAGTTTGTGAGCAACCTTTGGATTTTTTTTTTTTTGAATCTCTAATTGACAAAAGTATTAAAAGCATCTTAGCTCCATTTTCCAGAGAGAGTCAAATTTCCTACATTGATTTTGTCTTTTTTTATTTTTATTTATTTTTATATTCCTGAAATTATTTTGTTGTGAATTTATCTGAACTCATTTTTTCCAAACTTATTTTATCTGAACTTATTTTTTGCAATTGGACAAAACAAGATGAATGAACATGCCCTAAGTTGTGACATCTCCTATCTCATTGAACATTTATGTCTGCTATTTCAGCTATAAGAATCTATAACATCTTTGACGCGTTAGAAAATTTAAAAGCTGCAGCAGGATCAAGATTTTGCTACCCTTAATCTCTTGAGATTAAAGTTCCTTGCATCAATTCCTTGTGTTTTAATTTTAGTCAAATGTGACTGTAACTGCTATGTTCAACCTTCATGTACCCAAGAAATTATTTGGATTTCAAAATCTGCAGCTAGGGCATCAGCTGCAATAAATATTGATGCCTAGGTTCAGAACTTCAGATAAATTTTTAATAGTGGACCGGGTTTACTCTTTAGTGTATGTGCCAAGATGCACTCCTGTTTAGTTATCTCTTGAAGTAAGAAACTGTAATCTTTACCTCTGAATCTCTTATTAATTTGCTGTTCAATGTCTCTAAATGTATCTTTTCTTGATGCTGCAAAGTCTGCTGGATGCAACTGATAACAGTGACCTGTCTAGTGTGCGTTGAAAATTTGGAACTTACTCTGGATTTGTGGAGTTACATGTAGAGCAAGGGTCTATTTTGGAAGCTGAAGCTGCACATTTCCTGTAAAATGTGATGCTCTCACAGAATTTGAAATGCCGTGCTGCTGGTGCCACTGCATGCTGCCACCGTTGCTGCTGCTGGCACTGCACACTGCCGTTGTGTCTTCCTCATAATCAGTCCCAGTACTGAAGTGTCTGATGCTATCGTCTCCCTGAGAGACCAACACGCAATCTTTGGAGGATGGATGCTGCCGATTTTAAGCATAGGAAGAAATGCCCCAATCTCCCCCCAAACAACCCGCCCTTGGTGATCATCAAACCCACACATTATGGGTACGAGAGATGGAAATGCTGACTACTGGGCTACCACTCCAAGTACTTTAGGATAAATATGTTGCACATATTATCGCTTTTGATATTGTACATACTACTGAAAAATTCCTATAGCGTACTTTCTCTAGTTTAAATAATTTGTTATATCGTCCAAACTCCTTATTACAGAGTAACACAGATAAAGAGTAACACAGATAAAGACATGATCATACAAAAAGATGAATGAATGTTTCATCTTTTCTATGGTGACATTTTTTTTATATATAATTTTATTTTATTTTTTTAAATCCTATGATGGGATTTATATTAATATATATGTGACTAATTCTTCTAATTGACCTTTAAAGACAAATGATCGGAGCATCAATTACATATGTATTCGTGAAATTAATTAGTCATTCTAGCTACAACACAAATGTGACCAATTCTCTATTATTCTAGCTTCAATTACCACGACTGAAGCTGCATGCATGAGTTACAACACTGGTTTCTTATCATCTCACAATATTACGTTGACAAAAGATCGGTTTACAGTATATGCATACATTCTGCATTTCTACTAAAGGCTTTACGCCTTCAGGTTTGATGGATGAAAGCTGCTTCATACATGAAACCAACGTCCTAGGCATATGTAATAGAGCTTTTTTCACACACTAGCAACAACAATAGAAAGGTGCCGGAAAAGAAAAACCGCACCACAGAATTCTTAATGCTTGATGGGTTATAGAGTGGTATAAAGAACAGAAGTACGCCGAACAAGAAGGTACATCCCATGCCTAAAACCACGTAGGATAGCCAAGGTACTGTCCTCAACACGACGAATATACCCATCATGAAAGCCAAGGACATCATCACCAATGCGAAACCCAACAAGGGTAGTGCAAACTTGAGAGATACCAGGATTAGCTTAAGGTCACCTAAGTGTGCCCAAATGAGAGTTACCACACATAAAACGGAACTGTATAATGCCGCTGTGTTGCATATTACAAATGCCTTGAACGGCCATCTGTCCGGCAAGACAGCCATGCCTATGTTCGGGTCATTGTCGGACTGGTTGTAACCTCCCGGAAGGGTGAATCCAGCTGCAAACGTAACAGTAGCCACTAGTGTGGCTACTAGCATGTGTGTGTCAACTCTTTTTCTGAAACCATCCAACTCCTTCACGCTATTTGCTTTGTTCTTATGCTTTCTAACTCTTTGTAGTTGCTTGTAGCAGCTCTTTCTTAGTGATTGTGAGCTTCGTGGTGCATCCACATATCTCAAGGCCATCCAAGTAAGTCTCTGAAAATTCATAAAGCAATGAATTGTACATGTTACAACGGATGCAAGAAAGATAATAACATAAACAAATTAAATAAAAACACAAATTTAACGTGGTTCACTAACAATTAGTTTGATTTGTCATGCCCAACATGCATAGGATGTATTATAACATAAGCTAGGCCAGGCAAAAAATATTTGGTTGATCCAAAACATAACAAGGCCCAACAAATCAGATAGTTTAGAAAATCACAACCCAATTATTGTAATAATTTAATTTCATACTTCGTATAAAGAATTTTTTTGAAGATAACACCTCATATTTAAAAAAAAAGATGGATTATAACACTATTTTTTTTTTTAAAATTTTTATTATAACACCACATAACAACCCAAAAATTGAATTTCACCACCATTTAACCGTATCTTTGGATGGAATCCGTTAGTGGGACCCACTAAGCATACGTGTCATTCATTTATTGGTTTAAAAAAAAAAACCAAAATATTTTTTTAAAAAATAAAATAATACCAATCCCTAACCTATCTCCGATCCACCACCGGCAACCATGAACTGCCGCCGGCAGCCCTGAAACCCTAATCCAGCCCCACCGTCGGCACCTCAAGCCACCGAAAAACCCACCGGAGCCAACTTCAAAACACCCCAGCCATCGAAAACCCACCTAACCCATCTCCTAACCCATCCTTGAAACACCTCAGCAACAGGAAAACACCCCAACCGCCGCTAGCAAGGAGGGCGTCGCAAACTAGGGTGGGGATCAGAGCGTGGGTCGTCGCGCAGGTGGAGATCTGTGGGTTGTCGAAGCAGGCGGAGTTTGATGGGTGTGATTTGGTTGTGTTTTGAATGGCGGAGGTGGTTGCGCGGGCTAGTTTGGTGTTGTTGGAGATGTGAGGCTAGGTGGGGCTGGGGTAGTTTTCGGGGAGCGGAAATGATGGAGTCGCCGGTTCCGGCTGGTTCCGACAGGAGATAAGGTGGTTCCGGCGGGAGGTTAGGGGATATCGGCGTTTTGGCTAGTGGTTCCGGTGGTGGGGCTGGGTTGGGTGAGAATTTAGGGGTTTTTTTTTATTTTTTTTTATGGTTTAATTAATTTTTTTTAAACAAATCCCTGAGTGACACGTGTCCACAATGGATCCTGTTTCAGGGTTTTCTGATGTCCTGCGGAAGAGTTACAATTCCGAGACTGGAACCGGACGCCTGTACCTGCAAAACAAACGGATGCTGCGGATGATTGGAGATCCGCCTCCGACGGTCAAGTTAGTACTTGATTAAGGAGTAATTAATGCGGAAATTAAAGTGATTGGGTCTCTCTAGGTGAGAGTGTTTAATGTGTGTAATCTGCGTTTTTTGCGTAATCCCCCTTAATGAGGATTAAGGGAGGTATTTATAACCTCGGGAAACGTGCCAATCTAGGTTTAGGTTAACCTTGGGCTGATTGGGCTTCCCTCGGAAGTTGGGCCTAGGTGACCGGTTATCCCAGGTGTCATGGGAAGGACACGTGTCGTGTCGTAATTGGTCCATAGTGGACGGATCATTGCTTGACACGTGGCAGGCTCCTATTGGCCCATGTGACGGACACATGGCGGAACCTGATTGGTCCACTTGTCAGATGGTGATTGGTGGGGAAAAATCCCCTAATCATTTGCCCCTCACAGGTGGCACGTGACTGGTCACGTGTTACCTGTGACAGGTATCGCCCTGTAACAGGCGACGGCCTGCTACAGGTGTCACTCGGCGAGAGGCCGAGAGATTCTCCCGCCAAAATTTTGAATTCTGGAAGTGACCCTTCGCCTTCTCACTTCGCCTATATAAAGGAGTGTTGACTTCGGTCATTTTCACACTTGAAAACTTTGTGAGAGAACATTCGGACCCCTGAACTTGCTCTGACATTTTGGACCCTTTCTGCCTACCGCCTGCTCTGACAAGCCGACTGCAAAGGATTTTCAGAACTTCATCAATCGTCACTCGTTCAGGTAACCGTCGGTTCTCTTACTCTTAATTTTCTCTTTACTTTATTCTTTTTTTTGAAATGGCACCACGGAAGCACACGACACGACCTAGGTTAGTGATCAGCCGGTCACCGGGGACGGCTGAATCTAGGACTAGGAGTGCCGCCTGCCCTTTTCTGGACCCATCTTTGCCCTTTATACAAAGTCCGACTGTATCTGTGTCTATGTAGAGCATGATGGCCAGAACAAAAAAGACTGCCAGGATCTCAAACTCAGACGGCTCCTCCCACAGGGTGCCGATTAGTGAAACATCTGACCAGGCGCCAGATGTGGAAGTGAAACAAAGCGGCTTGAAAGCCGGCAGTTCTGAGGGAGGAGTCAAAGTGACCCCTTCCCATTTTACAGTTGACAATTCTACATTCTCTCCTGCTCCTTTTAATGGAGAGGAGGCGGGCCCCTCCGGGAGAGGGGAGGAGTTGTCTGGCCATGCTTCCCTGGACACAGAAGAGAAAAACAGGCGCCTACAAGAGGCGAGGCTTTCTCACGCAGTTGAGAAGGGGGACGATTGGGCGGAGCCATCCGCCTCTCACCGAGAGAAAAATACCCCCTACTACTGCACGGTACCTCGGGGCCGGATCACAGCCATGCAAGAGAAAGTGGAGAGCTTTTTCGCAAACCACGCAATGGGCCCCGACTTTTTAGTGTTCGTGCCGGATCCAGAAGACACAATCGTCTGGCCGGCTGGTACCAGGTATGATGGCGCCTGCTTTGGCTGCTACGAGGCGGCCATCAAGGCTGGGCTGCGCTTCCCACTACATCCGGCTGTTCAGCGGATCTTGGATGGGTATGAGTTGGGGTTATGGCAGTTAGCCCCGAACTCCTAGGTCAACGTACTCGACTATGTGGCCGGGTGCGAACTGCACGGGGTGGAGCCGAACTTCGAGGCTTTCGCCCACATGAACCACCTCAGCCGGACCCCTAAGGCAGGCGGTACCGGCTGGTATCAATTGATGAGCCACAGGGGCTACCTCATGACGAGAGGTAAAGCAAACAAATGGAAGGACTGGCGGAGCACCTTCCTTATCATTGAGAGTTGAGACACAGAGCTGAACAAGCGCTTCAACAGGTGGAACAGGAATCCGCCCCTTCTTGCAGGCGGCCGCAGCATGCCGCTTGTTCCCCCCAAGGCTAAGAAAGAGATCCTAGATAAAGGAATCTTCAAAGTAGAGTCAAAGGTGAACTCTACTTCAGGGGTACGAGAGCAAGTACCCCTGCACTGCGTCCCGAGCTTCAAATGGCTCTACGACGAGTACTTTTTGGCCGCCTGTGGCCTCAGCAGTCGGTGCTCAAGAGGTAGCCGGCCTGTCGAATACTCTGTTGTTCCATGCATTTCTTGTTATGACTTTTATTAACTTTGCTATTTGTTTTTTTGCAGCGGACGCCATGAGCAAAATTACCGCCTCCAAGACTGCGGCGACCATGTTGCGGGCCTCCATCATGCAACAGTCTTCAACCGACTCCCCCAACAAGGGGGCACCCTTGGTGGGCTTCGAACCTTTCACCCTCTTTTTGGAGTTGTGTTTATGCATATACTGACTCTTTTCTTCTTTTTTAGACGGGCGCTCCAAGAGCTTCTTCTTCCCAACAGCCGGACCCCAAGGCTCGGAAGACGACTGTTGCGAGCTCTCCTGGTTCTGCCAGGAAACATGTGGCGGCTGAGAAACAGCCGACCACTTCTTCTAAAACTCCAGCTGGGCCACCTAGAAGTATGAAATTGTCCTTGTAAATTTTAGACTTGCTCCCTCTTTTACTAGGTCTAATCCGTTTGTTTATGCTTGATGCAGCCGGCCCTCAGGAGCCTGACTTGGTCGAGGTGGCCAAGTCTATGATCAAGGCCGTTCCTCCAGCTGAAAGGAAGACGGTCAGGGGTGTCGGCACCCTTGACCTAGACGGGATCGCAGGGGTCCTTGCTGAGGTATACTTAGCATATTTTTGAGTATTTGAATTCCAGGACGCCT